TTCAAACAGAGAACAAGAGTATCCTGCAAGGTAACCGAGGTAAACTGAAGCGTTTAAATGCAACACGCACCTCTCTCTTTACTACCCATAAGCAAGCCAGGATAAGGTGCTATGTCCTGAAAGTATACATCTATCTATTTACCTCTCTAACTTTGTCTAGTCTTACTTTATTCACTCTCAACTACAATGGAGTTTCATTTTCTAATGAACCTGTGTGTTAGCATCATGCCTTCATTCACTGAGCTCTGGATGATTGGAGTGTATAATTCTATTTATCTGTAAAGTGACCTTCCTCTTGCAGATATCCTAATTGTCCATTTACTTAACAGGTTTGCCTGGTACATTCAGACACCAGAAACTCTGATGTGTCTGTCTTGGGTGTTTCTGGGACATAAATCGGATAGTTATCTGTACCACAGATGAACAAATCTGTTATCACCATTAGTTCTCTCTAGTGAATGCATCAAATTCTATAAAATTATAACGTTTCATTTGAAGATCCATGTCCTTTGTCTTTGTATTATCAGTAAAAGTAAACAATAAAAACAAAAACAAACAAAAAAAATATTATGTAAACAAAATAAAGTGTACAAAAATATCACATACAGTATACATAGTCAGTTTTGTCTGTTATTATATCAAGAACAAGCTAGGGGAAAAAAATCAAATGGAACCAAGGATATGATAAAAAAAAAAAAAAAATCACCAATATTATGAAAAAAAAATTATACAGAAGGTTTAAAAAAAAAAAATCTATCAGTGCATAAAACAGCAACATTCCAAGCATGGGGGAAAAAAAAAAAATCACAGAACACACCCAAACAAGTGCAAGATGCCCCTCCTCCTCTACCATGCTCCCCGTCTTCCACTGCACTACTTCCCCGACCCTGCAGCCCCCCCCACCCCCCCCTCCCTTACCAGTGGCGCTCTGAACTGTAGCCCCTGGGGGTCGGGCAAATCCTTAAGTTCCTGAGGGGTGAACGAGCGCATGTGTGCAACCCAGCGCGAGACGGCAGGGTGTGTGTTGGTATCGGGGGGCCCTGGGAGGCGTGCCAAGACCTTGGCGTCAGTCTGGCAGGGTTGGTGGCCCAGCACGTAGCTGTATTCAGTCAGGTGCCGCTCCAGCGCATCTACGTCCGGAGGCAGGGGCTCTGGTTCGGCCGGTTCCTGTGCCTCTTTTCCCCGGGCAGCCTGGGATGAGACAGGGGCCGCCCTCAGCAGGTGCACTTCAGGGAGGGGATTTGTGGTTGGGTTGAGGGGTATGGGGAGGAGGAGAGGGTATGGTGGGGGTTGGAGGATCATGGGAAGTGCACTCATGCCTTCAGTCTCAGAAGTGTTTTCTACTAATCATTGTGCGGATTGGGAGTACTATCAAAAATTTAATAAACTGAAAATCGGCTTCAATGTTTAGAAGAAAGAAAGAAGAGAAGGGGAGAGAGAGAGAGAGAGAGAGAGAGAGAGAGAGAGAGAGAGAGAGAGAGAGAGAGAGAGAGAGAGAGAGAGAGAGAGAGAGAGAGAGTCAAAGACAGGGAAAGAAAATGCTAGAGTCAGTATGAATTCTCTACTTTCTGCTAATAATTTGGTAGTTCCACAAAATTACTATACTTATTCAGAGTACCTATTCAAGATATGAAAAATTAATTGAAAATCTTAAGAGATCCTAAATCTTTAAAATAGAAATAATATATTCAATTTTTCTTTCCTGTGATGAAAGTATATATAAGCCATATATTGCAGTAACAGCTGATTCCTATGTCTGTATGATATTAACAATAACAGTCATATCAGAGGTAACACTTATAATAATAATAAAGCTAATAGTAATAGTCAAAATATCTAAAATTCTAATGGCAATTGCAACAGTAACAGGAATGGTATTAATAATAGTAACAGTAACAATAATCACTTAATCATAATAGTAATCACAACAATAATAGTAATTAAAAAGATAAAAATAAAAGTGAAAACAATAATAATGATTATAATACAATGTAGAAGAAAAAGATTCCTAACAACTTTCTCCAATGAAAAGAACCTCTAATTTTCTCCCCATTACAACAGTTTGACCATCTACCATGTATCAATCTACCAACAGCCCCCACCCCCCCAAAAAAAAAAGTTTACATGGTTTTCTTCTGACTGAAAAAGAACTTCCCTTTATTCACTCACCAATACTAGTGTTTTTACATGCACCAAACTTCAATCAAAATAACACAATAGATTTCAGAACCAGTTTTCCAATTTCCCAGATGCTTTAAATAAACAAAGTTGCTGAAACTATTACGATACATCTTACAAAGGTATTATATGTAAATAAGAATGATTTACATATAATGATAAGAAGAAATACCAGTAAAATCAACAAATAAAAATCAAATTAAAATACAAAGCTCAAACAGATAAAATGTGTAAGGATATATAAAACCATAATACAAAATTAATACGAAAGAAAGAAATATATATATATAATTTCTTGAAAAAAAAGGAAAAAGAAAGAAAACCAAACATAAACAAAACCTTTTCCCAAGCACACACCAGACCTCAAAACTTATAACTAAACATTGAAAATAATAGCACACTGTAAAAATAATTCCTCACAATATTACAAACTTATCAAACTACCCGACAATCTTTGCCTACAGGACACTGGACTCAAAGTTCAACTGCAAGAGTGGTAACTAAATGACGCACCTTCTTTTTTTCTCCGACGGTCTTTGAGATGACGTTCACCATCCTGTTCAGGACATCTCCCTTGTGTCGAGCTGAAAAAGGGGAGAAAAGTTTACTGCTAAGACTAGATACTCATGCATAATGTAATACACTATTCGACTTGAGGTATTTATATAGCATGGATAGATATATATAAGGGATGGAAGGCCTACAATCAGAGGTCTGCACTTCACACTATGGGTAAAACAGAGCTCCATCATATACAATCTGGTCAGATAGAACCACGATGTCTACTGACTCCTTGGTGGCTAAGCACTTTTGGAGCCATTTTTGTATAGAGACATTTCATAAAACAACACTATAATGAACACTACAATTTCAAGGCAGCACTAGTTTAACCCCTTCCCGACGGGTCACGCCCTGAGGCATCATAACAAACCACTTGATCTGTGGAGTGCGGCCAGTGATTCGGCTTGATGTACCAAACTCTAGTGCTCAATATGCACCAACTGTCTTGCGCTACGAGCCAGTGATTCGGCTTGATTTACTGAATTCCCACGCTCAAAATCAGCATGCTGCCATTGATCGCCAGAGCATAGAGTTTTTAAAATTTTCTTCACCCGTCACCAAGGGGTTAACCCCTTGGTGACAGGTGAAGAGAGAGAGAGAGAGAGAGAGAGAGAGAGAGAAAAAAAAAAAAAAAAAAAAAAAAAAAAAAAACACTCTGGAGATCTATGGCAACGCACTGACTTTGAGGGAAGGAGTTTGGTATATCAAGTACATAGCACTTTGGCACGCTGCTGCGGCATACAGCCACATGCCACAGATTGAGCGGTTGATTTTGACGCCTCATGGCATGACCTGTCGGGAAGGGATTAATGCTATGTCTACTGATTAGTTTTCAGAAGTTCCAGTCAAATGGGCGCAGTGTGGAATTCTCTAACTGTGCTGTAAGCATAGTCCTGAATCAGTCACTATATCATTTAATGCAGGGGGCTGTGCCCTCTGTGATACCCTCCTGAGGGGCTGCCAACCCCAGCCCGGGAAAACAAAGAATCCTTGACATATTCAGGGGAGGAAAGACCATCGGACAGACTAGGCATAGGGTGCTTCCATATATTGGTCATGCGTGCTAATCTGCCATGGGTAAGGTGAGACCTCAACACTGTGCATGTGTGAGTGGAACTCCCAGAAAATTATTAAAGACACATTACATTACTATACTGTAAATATAGGCACTTCGTTCAGGTAAATACCCTGTCATATATCCTAGACCATACAAAAATCATAGCAAATGAATTCATAACACAAGAAGCTTGTGCGGGTTACCATTTATGTTTGAGTGTCCCTATAATGATATAAACCATTCAGTTTGAGCATATCAATTGTAAAGCATAAACATACTCCATAATTTCCAACAGAATGCAAGGCTGACCACTACACAACTCCGATATCTGGATGGTAGACTACATATGCAGTTGATTGATATCAGAAACAATAGTATCAGTGGCACTAAGCTTTTGTAAATACTAGAGCTACTTTTATTAATGTATTTCTAATGACATCATTCACGTTGAGGTTTAAAATTACCACCAGATGTTCACTTTGAAAATGGTCTCCCAACTTACTAAATTAATTATTTCTCTCACGGCAATTGACTCGACACCATGACCACCAAGGACCAAAGAGAAATTTCCTCAAAACATCATTCATTATCCTTTAAAGAAGAGTAATAACAAATGGGGAAAAAATCCTCACCCGCTCTCCATTTCGTGTCCAGTTCAATGACAGTATCGACGACCTTCACATCCTTAAAACGCCTTTTCTGGGACTCCCTTACTAGGTTGGGATTGCCGCCCTGATCCTCCCGGAATAAGACAATGTCCAACATCTTCCCGCGCTCTTCTTCTCTCTCTCCTTCCTTCTCCTTTATCCACGTTTCTTCTCGTCTCTGTTTCACTCACACGTCTTCCACGCCGGGTCTATAAGCAACCCAAAGAACCCGTCGATGTAGTATCGGATCGACGGATACTATGTATAAGTACAAGTAATAACGTCTATAAAGTATTCGATTGTTTATAATTGACTCACGCGATTTGCTTTTGTTTTTTTAGAGGTGGAGGTCTCGGCTCTTTTTAATTCTTGTTTACTACTGGGTGATGCAGTCAAGGCTAATATAAACGTCATCTATTAAATAATGTTAAATATCTGTCTATGTCATCAATAATTATCCTTTATTTATTTATAGCGATGATGGTGTGGTTTTTGCTTTAATGGGGACATGTCAGAACAATAAATAACTATTACATAGTGCAGGTTGCATTACGAGC